TTGATCATACACAAATTGTTCATTAGAGAATCATTGGTACTTAAGGTAAAAGATGTAATTACATGGGTAAAACGAACTTTTGATCCAGTTGTCATTATGAACAACTCGTGAAGGATGGACTTGCTTGTAATGGTTATATCAATGGACATAGCTTGTCATGCAGTGCATAAGAGTGCAACTCTAGGTCTATAGTGGAGCGACCTAGAATTAATGAATGGAAATTAATTAATTAAAGAATTTAATTAATTAATTTTATATCATTGGAGTTTATAATTTGTACGTTCATAAGATCTCCTTATTAGTTGGTAGTAACTTTAAAAAGTTTAATTTATTTGAAAGAAAAATTTAGAGGCTTGAAATTGATATTTAATATATTAGATATATTAAATACAATGGAGAAATTAAATTTAATTTGAAATGTTAAATTAATATTTAATATATTAAATAAATAGAGAAAATATATTTAATTTGAAGAGTTTCATTAATATTTAATATATTAGATAGGTTAAATATAAATAGAGAAAAATATGTTAATGGAAAAAGTCATATTAATATTTAATATATTAGATATATTAAAAAATATATATATATTTATTATATTTGATATAATTAAATATTAAATCAATTAATGTACTGTGATACAATAAATAAAAATATATTTAAAATTTAAATGAGATTCAAATTAGTTAAATATATATTAGGATATGTTGGAGTAAATAGGATTTGTATAAGATATTATATTCTAATATATTAAATATGCAAATATATTATTTGGTAAATATTCGAAGAGTTTCTATAAATAGGACCCTCGGGTTGAGCCAAAGATAGACGACTACTTTCTCTCGAGAATGAAATTACATCTCCATAGAATTATCGAAACTCTTCTTCTCCAATCCCTTTGGGATTTTCTTTTAAGAGGCTCTCACAAGTCTTGGCCTTGTGTTCGAGTCATAGCAAGAAAGAAGTTGTGGAATATGAAGAACGTTTGCATGGTTGGAATACTTCAAGAAGTCTTTCAAACTAGGGTTTCTACAAAGGTAGACTTATTGTTCTCGTATTTATTGCTTTTGTTTTAATTCATAATAAAAATCAAAATGGTTCCCAATGCTTCCGCTACGTGAATAAAAAATTCATTCCCTTTAGATAAAAAGTATGTTGCTATGAGGAACAGATGTTAACGGTGGTTCATTGTTTATGGGCTTAGAGATATTACCTTCTTGGGGCCAAGTTCGTAGTAAGGACCAACAATAACTCAATATGGTAAGCACAAGTTGTATTTTTAAACAAGCTCATTTGAAAGAGTGTATGATAGAATTTGACTTTTCGTTTGAGCTCAAATTTGGACGGACAAACTAGACTATAGATGCCCTATATAATCCAAAAAACTTGGGCAGACATCATGATCGTGGAAAAGAGTATCTATCGACTTCATCACTCATCTCCTTAGATGACAACCCAATTATTTTTCAAAAATGTTGTCCGGCTATGGGGTATGTCTATGAGTATCATCAATAATGGAGATGGAAGATTCATTGGAATCTTATGAATGGTTGTTAGGATCAAACTTAAACATTTTCTCCCGCTATCATCCCCAAAGAAACGGACAAATCAAAAGATTCAACATGCTTGAAGAATTTTTGTCACTTCATTAAACCATGATAGAAGAATTGGGCTCAAATACTTGATATTGCTAATTTGATTTTAATTGTCGATGAACCTCCTCAATAGAAAGTCACTCTTTTAGATAGCATGGTGTCGACAACTACTTATGCACCATGTTATTGACCTTCCATATGTCGAAAGAGCTTACAACTTTAATACAGAAGAGAGACAAATTTTAAAAGAACACACTTATTTCGAAAAATTATTTCAATAGATGAAAGAAAGGGTAGAAATGAAAGGCTGGCCTCTAGAATTTCAAACTACTATCCAAGTTTTGATCAAGCTAAAACTAGAACGGTTTCCATTTTAAGATAACAAGGATCAACAATTAGTTTGAAAATATGAAAGATTAGAAGTCACCAAGAAGGTCAACACGACCTTATATAAGTTTTAGTTGCCTTCATAGATGAAAATTCATCCATGTAAGTAATTTGAAACTATATCATCTTGATAAGGAAGACAACAAGCACAATGTAGTGACACGACCTCTGGTCATGAAGAAGAATACTACTAAGAAAGAAGTAGACGAGTGAACGTGTCGAGTCCACAACGTGCACTGAAATGTACAAGAGTTCCTAGTAAAGTGGAGGGAGCTTTTTGATGCTAAGGTTAGTTGGAAACGTGTCGAAGACCTGAAATTTACCATTAGTTACATTGCGGAGTTTGAGAGAAGATGGTTGGCAAGTACATCAACCAATTATGTTGCATGTGGTCGGACACCCATTCGGACCCTTTTTATTGCTTTTTCATTAGCTAGTTATTGTTTTTTATTTTATTATTATATTTTCTAGGTGTATACTTCAAAATATTGTCTAAATAAGGTTAAAATGCCTTAAAATATACTACTATAGGGGATGAGATTAATCATTAATTCTTCGTACCCGAATTATATGCTATCAATATCGTTAGTGTCTCTTAATTGCTTTCTAGCCTACATGTAATAACCCAAAAAAAAAATAATTAAAAAAAGAAGGGGAAGGAAAATTTTGTCTCACATTGGTTAAGTTGAGAAGCGGGAAGTTGGACTCCACTATAAAAGTGAGGTCACTCACTTCATCTTAGCATCCCACTTGAACGGCTCAAAGCGAGTTAGAGAATATACTTTCTGACGGCTTAAGACAAGCACTTTGGATGATCTGACTTGGGTCTGTTGCGCTCGGACTCTTTTCTTCTAGTTTCAACTCTTTGGAAGCGTTTAAGGTTAGTATGACTGCTTTCTGGCTAGTTTAAAATTTTGGAGTAAAGTTTAAATTATTAATGCATAATTAGGCTTAGATAGTTTAAGTTATTAGAGTAAATTTAAATTATTTTAGGCAAAAATAGGATTAGATAGGTTAATTTATTAGAAGTAGTTTAAAATTATTTCATACAAAATTAGCTGAGTCAATTCCTAGTTCCAATTTATGATGGTTGGACTCGTTAGGTAGAATAAAATTTCAGAGAGCAGTGTTAAGTATCGCTAGCATTAAGAAGTCATAGTAGCTTCGGCCTAAGGCAACCAAGTAAGTGGTCTTAATGTCGATTTGATAATAATTGTATGATGTATGATGATACATGTCTGTAGCTTCGCACACGTCACATGCTCGTATATTTGAAAGATTATGAAATGATATGTTTACGATATGAAATGTTAATATAGGATATATTTGACGACATGCTTGTAATATGATATGTGAATGTTATGGTATATGATATGTGCATAATATAATATGATACGTTAGAAGACATGGCAAGTTTATGATATGACATATGTTCAACGTGAATGATATATGATATGATTGACACGCAACATGATGAATCGGCACAATACACAACCCCGATATATGCATGAAAAGATCTCATGTATCATTGTGCGTTCAATCTCCTTGCTAGCAGATCACCCTCTACAACCGTTCTCAATCTTTGATTCCATCATAAAAGTTGTTCTATTTCCTAAAGATAATCTACGAGGATAAAGATCATCCTAAACGTGCTCCGTATAAGGAAAAAGAAATTATTTACATTATTATTAGTAGTTATTAATTTAATTGGAATAAATTAATTATATTTCCAAATAGTGAATAAAGGGAAATTAATTGATCATAAATAATTTTTTTTTTTTTTTTTTTTTTTTTTTTTTTTTTTTT